GATGAACAGTTTTACCGTAACGGTATTCGAGCTCTGCCAGAAAGATGGGAAAAAGTAGTAGCTAGCGATGGGCAATACTTTCAATGATTCATTTGTAACCATTTTTTCACAATCAAGTTGCATTTTCATCAAAATAACAGCGAGAACTTAGTTGCGCACCTAATATATTAAATTCAATATAATGCGAGTGTATATAACGGTTATATAATTGCGTAAAAAATTATAACATATTGATGTTACGTTAATAATAGTTGAAACCTATGAAAAGGAAATCTTTGCAGATGAGTTGATCTCTTCCCCGGTGAGCTCTTCCCAGCTCTTCCACCCAGCCGGTCCATCATATAGGAGAATCTCCTCCTCCCGTCGAGAAGAGGGCCCTCGTCACCTCCAGTATAAACTAGGGATCCAGGGATTCCACGATAGGAGTGCCTCGAGTTCTCAATCTATAATATTAAGTACAATTTTGTACGTTCTCCCCCACGGATCCCTCTTCAGGGTCGAGACTAATTCCTCCCAGGATCGGGCCTTGGCGTGTCTGATCGAGCGCCTCAACACCCCTCGTGCGGCTCGAAGGGTAGTGTATCGACGCCCGATCTCACCTTCCACATATCCTCTAGCTTTCGCTCGTATATAGACGCGCCTTGCACAGTCGGAAGAAACCTGCCTCAGAGCAGCGATTTCCTCTGACTACCGATAGGCGGCCCTGCGGACGGGCAAAGGCTCCAGGACATCGATGCGTCATATGCGTCTTGAATGATGCCCCTGATCCGCTCGGCCTCGTCATCTACGGATGGGATGTTTCCCTCCCGAACGGGGAGTGATCCCATCGTCTCGCTGTGCGCTAAGAACGCATCCGCATCCAGTTTGCATAGGATCCATCTTGGAGGCCGCCTAGAGCGATCGGTCCGGGTCGTGAGCTCCGCACTCTTCCCCAATCTAAATCGGAAGGTGATGCCTGGTGGTACCTGCATGGATGGAGAATGTCTCCGACCCAGCCAACACCTCCCACTCCCCGATCATGTTAGTTACGGAGGAGGAAACCCACGTTAAATCAATAATCAACTTCCCTTTATTTGAGAAAATGAAGCCCTCAAGTATGTAAATCAATGTTTTTGAATTGTAATTAGTTTATTTATGACCAAAAGAATATATACGAATGCTTAATTTATGTGTTCTTTAGTTTAATACAGGTTTATTTGTTGTAGAAGTTTAGTGCATGAAAGTTCACGAAGGGACATGTAAGTACAGTTCAAAAGATGAACCACCAACCACCATGCTTGGAATCGTGTACTATGTGCCATTTTGACGCAACATTTCTGAAATTAATTGCGCGCTACTTTATAGATCTAGTGATTTTATCCTCGAGGAACAAATCTTGCGCCTTGCGGCCGTGACCGAGATTCGCCTGGAGGACCCCAATGGTCATTTACGTTCTATCGGTTCCCGTCCTCCGTCCCTCCAGGACGATCTCCATCTCTTCGGTCCCCGTAGTCCAAGAGGCGGGGACTATATATCTCCCATCATCGAGAGTCGGGCGCCCGTTGGGCCAAGGCGGCTCGAAATAAGAGGCAGGCGCGCGTCCTGGTGGGATTCTGCCTACCTTTCCTTCTCTTGTTCATTGGACAGGCATTGTTGCCGGTGAGCTGTACTCGTCCTCCCCGCGTCTCGGCATAGAGGGCATGCGACATCTATCTCGCATTGCCCATTGGCTTGATGCCCCACATCGCCGCACCGGTAGCAACAGTAACTGCGATCTACGATACCGCGACAGTTTACCCGCATGTGTCCCGCCTAGAGGCATCTAAAACACTGTAGAGGCCTCGAGGGAAAAGCTTCGATTCGACAAGGCGTCCAGCCTATACGAATGCGTGACTCAGCAATGGTTTTTTTGGCCGCAGCCACGCCGTGCCGAGTCCATTCTGCGCGATCTGTAACCTCTTAGCAGGAAAACCACCCCCTACTCTTTTCACGCAAGAGAGAACTATATTATTACAAAATAGGAAAATAAATCATTTTATGACGGGAATTTATCTGCTGATTTAGGAGCTCTCGAAATACGCATAAACCGATTTTTTAGCTGCAACTCTTAGCAGGAAATCCACCCCCTGCCTTTTCGCGCAGGAGAGAGTGTTAGTTAAGTTTTTCTTTATTTTACTTTTGTTTAAATTCTTGCGCTTAGACTTGATGTCACGATGCTAGTTATTTTTGTTATCTTGCGAGTGCCTGCATCCTCGTCTGCGCATGCATAGAGCGCTTCTTTATTCTACCGTTCGGGCCTCTTTACCTTCTCTCTCTCTCTCTCTTCCTCCCCCCTCTTTCTTTTCGTGCTCTCTTAATAGAGTAACTCCGGTATATACGCCGCACTTATCAAAAACTTGATTTATTAAGTACTATTTACTATGTTTAAAGTAAACGAATTATATCAGTAAAAACTTTGTACTGTCTACTACTATGAAAAAAATATTAGAAATCCGAAATATATATATTTATTTTTTGTATTAAAAAATGAACTTTTTGAAACTTACATTTTTGCCGTATATCCTATAGGGGTGGGATATATGGCTACTCATGGGCGGGGGTGGTATGTACGGCTCATGAAAAATTTACAAAGAATGCATATATGTAAATAAAACATAAAATGACACAATAATTTATAAAATGTGTTTATAAAATTCTATTAAGGAATAAGAATGATAAATATGTATATGTAGTATAAATAATAATTACAATCATCCTACATATATTACAAGTGTTATGACATAGGGTACATATTTCATGTAATGTGTTTATTGCATTTAGTGCACTGAATTCAATCTGCGCACTTTGTATGCTTTGGGCATAAATCCCGCTCGCTAAAAATGCCGTATGTCCCAAACAGGTGGGATATACAGGACAACAAACGAAACAAAGAATACGAAAGCAAAGCACTTGTATTTTGCTATACAACATGCTTTACTATTTCTCTACACGTATGTATCACGAAATAAGTCTTTTACACGCCCTACAATAATCATTTTATGTAGATAATAATTTATAGTGGCACTACTTATTACAGTGACAAATCGATTCAACTCACAATAATTTCATTAATATTAACAGTAAGAAGCTGAAATCATAACAGAATATTAATATAACATAAAGGCATGTAACAGAGTAGTTGTGGAAAAATTACTCCCACTCCTTCTATTTTTTCTGACTTCTACAGCGTAAATCCCAGCGCGGCGTATTTGCCGGAGTTATCCTAATTCTTGTTTGGCCGTTATGTACACGAAGTAATTAGAGCATTGGATGAGCTATATTGAAGAAACAAACTACGTTTTGTGTTACTAAATATCAGGGTGTCTCATTTTAAATAATGCATTAAGATTTCTCGAAAACTATGGTAGATATGGAAAAATGTTTCAAACACAAAAGTTGTATGGTTCGAAGGGGAACATAAGAAGGTACCATTGATTTGACCGTCGTCAAGGCTAGTGTGCCCGATGAATACAAAAATTTGTAATTGAGTTCCAAATTGTATTTATTCAAAATTTTCACATAAAAAAAATGTAATCATATATTCATTCAAAATTTTGGATTTTCAAAAAATATTTATTCACAAAAAAACTATGAATATTTAACGTTAGTTAAGAAATAACGATTATTTATTGCAACTCACTTTTTCGGTTTATATTTTGTTTGAACGAGTATTCATATTCATTCAAACAAAATATAAACCGAAAAAGTGAGTTGCAATAAATAATCGTTATTCCTTAACTATAATCGGTACTTTGGTGACTTTAAGTTAAAAAAAAATGAATTTTATTTATTTTTGTCATTGAAGTATTCAGATTTTATGAAGAAAACTTAGAAATTCTGAAAAATATTTTAGAAAGCAATACATTCTTTATTTACAAATATTTATTTAATAGAGCGCCATACATATTCCGATATAATTTCGGTTACATCACAATAATGTTATAAACACTTTATAAGATATCTTGGGCGTGTTCATTATGGTCTGAAGACATTAAATTCCGAGATATATTATTTATTCCCAATAAAAATGTCTTTGTTTAACCTAAACAAGTGTTTAACCCAAACATAAGTTAAACAAGAATGCCTATCGTATAGGTCGCGGACTAAGAGCACGGTGTAATTGTAGCCGTATTGTTTTTATAGATTTCTGTTTTCTCTTGTTGGCGTACAGACTATATGCAAATAATACAGAGAGTAAAAGTGAATACGAAAAAAAAATATTCGTAATCATATTCAAAAAATATTCATTCAAATGGAATGAAAAAGTATTTATTCGTTTCTTGACGAATAAAAAAGACGTGTATTCGAATGAGTATTTTCAATCATTTTTTTATTCATTTATTCGAATATTAGGTGTATTCACCGGACACGCTAGCCAAGGCCAGATCAAGGTCACGTCGATTTTTTTAAATGGAACTTCCTATTTTTCATTACATTTTCTTGTAGTTTGCCTTGATAACTTTTCAAAACACTATAATGAAATACTTTTTCACTAAGTATTTTTCGAGTTATAAGGCTCAAAAGTTACAATACAGTCGGCATTAGCATTACGCAGGTTGTCCGATCGACGGCTAAAACTTCTTGAATATTGTTCAGGATCATGTCCTGGATAATATTTGTCAAGACCAAGGCCATTGGAGATTATTCCTCTTATTTTCATTTTTGCACTAAAAATTCATTTTTACGTAATTTTTATTTAACACTCAGCCCCCCCCTCCACCTTTAAATTAAGATTCCTGCAAACCGAAACGGGCTCATAAATTTTTTACGAGGTTTGAAAGCTCATGAATAACTCCTAATTTTGAGTTATGCGTTTTTTATTGCAGCGTGATGAAGAGACCATCTGGACAAGGGTTTGTCAAAATGAAATTATATTAAAGTAATTGATATTACTTTATCATTGATGAAATTGAAATTTTTTAAGTAAATATAAATTAATTCATTGCATATTAAAAATGCATGCTATATTTTGTATCTTCCAGGTGTTTTGTCACCCGACGGTTATTGCAGACCATTTGATAGCGCTGCTAACGGTTATGCGCGTAGTGAAACAGTGGCAGTGATATACCTTCAAAAAGCGAAAAATGCTAAGAGGATTTATGCCATATATCCGTATATTAAACTAAATAGCGATGGTTACAAACCAGAAGGAATAACATATCCTTCATCACAAATGCAATATACCTTACTAAAGGAATTTTACGAAGAATGCAAAATACCAGCATCTTGTTTGGATTATGTCGAAGCACATGGTACCGCTACCAAAGTTGGCGATCCTCCAGAAATTAATGCTATCTATAATGTTTTGTGTAAAAATAGAGAAACTCCGTTAATGATAGGCTCTATAAAATCCAACCTTGGGCATACTGAACCTGCGAGTGGTTTTAATCAAATCGCTAAGGTAAATTAATTGGTTTCCGATTTTATATGTTATTATAAAATTTACTTTTATTTTACTTTATGCGTAGATACGCACATATACAGGGTGTCTGATAATTGACACAACGTTCATATACAGATAGAATGAATTAAATCGAGTCGAAAAGTCTTGCAATGTACAAGATGTATCTGAATTAACGCCAACAAATCATATAGTGCTATTTCTCATAAAAAAAACTGATTCGAAAAATCCTTTACCATTTTACAATTTTCATATTTTTTTCAGTTATCCAATGAGTAAAATGTCTAAAATCGACGTATATCCCTTACGAAAAAAACCCTCAATTTTGATCATTAAATACTCAAAAAGAACTCTCAAATTTGAGAATTAAACACTTAAAAAAACACTCAAATTTGGGTGTGATTTCGGACCGTCAACTAAAGGTTACACCCAATTGAAAGTTAACGCCCAAAGAAAACCATCAAAATAAATGACTTTATTATATAAAATTAATTAAATTGTTTTATTGCTAAAATAATATTATTGATTTGCAACATATTCCGGAATACACTCGACAGAATTATAATTAAAAAAAAAAACGCTTTCGCTCTCATTTGGGAAGTAATTTCCTGATCTTTCTAAGCGGTCACACCAATCCAATCTCGTACTCCATCCAACGATGCTTAACTTCTGTAGTCGTACGGAAATCGTCTGCTGCTTCGATAATCCAAGAACACTGAATGTTAGTGAATGTATAACTGTGACATATCTCAATAGGACTGGGTTCGGAAACATCATCTGGGTACCCCTGTGTATCATCTTATCCTTGTTTAACATTGGTGAACAACAAGGATAAAACTATACATGGGGCACTCGGGTGATGTTTCTAAACGCAACCTAGATGAAGTGTGTCAAAAAGATGTTTCACGTATAGTTAAAATATATTCCTTTCATAAATGAATCTGCGGCATCCATATTCAACGTTTCAGCGTTAATTCTCAATCATAAAGATTGACATTCAAGACTCTTACACTCAATTTTGAAAATGACACTCAAAGGTTTAAACCGTTTAAGACACTCATCTATTGAGTGTCATATACATACATATAAGTGAAAGTAAACCGCGGTTGGGTGTGACCATCAAATTCGGTATATAGTATGGTGTATACACCAAACTATTCACCGGATTTAATGGTCACACCCAACCGACACCCAACAATGATGCTCAACTCTCAACTGACACCCAATGTTGACGGTCAACACTGAATTTTGATGGTAAACACCTAAATTTGAATGTTAATACCCAAAATTGAAGGTTTATTTTTCGTAAGACAATTTTAAGATATCTTTAAGAATTCTTTAAAAAAACATCTTCAAAATATTTCACAAAGAACACTGAAAGATATCTTAAAATTGTCTTTTACATCGATTTTATCCGTTTATTCGGCAATCTTTAGAAATTAATATCTCGTTAACTATTGCAAAAATTGCAAAGGAGAACTTTTCATCTCGATTTTTTATTAGAAATAGCACTGTATGATTATAGTAGGCGTTATTTCAGATACACCCTGTATATACATACATATATATGACATGATGGTCACGTCGAATTTTACATCATTTATCTTCAAAGGATGCGTTCCACTTAAAATCCGCAATGATTACGACCACAGTATTTGCCGTTCCACTAGCTTGCGGGCTCTGCAGGCGATCTTAAATGGAACGAGTTTTGTGTGTGAATAGTCTCTGTAACATGGATGCCATTGAAGTAATCGTACTGTGCTGTAAAAAATATAAATCTGAAGACTCTTCGAGTTCTGATGACGAATGGGAAGTAGTGTTTATCTCTTTCCGGATCATATAAAGAGACTTTTTCTATATTGAAAACCAAATAATACCGGGAATAAAACAAAATGTTTGCGTAAAATGACGCACAAAGATAGCAGACGACGAAACGACCACGCCGACCCACCTACGAACCATGAGCGTTGTAAGCTCGACGCGGTCGTGATTAATGACGTCATTTATGACATTTGATCGCGATCACAACAATCGCGGTCGTTATGTGGAACGGGTTTTGCGGGCGCTGCGAGCGTTGCAGGAATAATAGAGCGTTAAGTAGAATGTACCCAAAGTCAACCTAAAAATGACGTATTTTTGACGGTTTTAACAAGGTATAAGTCATAGACCAATGACGTCATTAGTAATGTCAAGTAGACGTTATTTTAATTTATAAAACGGCGTGAATTAAATAGCTAAATGACGTCTTTGTCACTTTTTTAAACTGAAATCATATAACGCTTTCTGACATGTTACCTGACATCCCAATCAGTAGACAATATATCTTTAAAAATGTTTTTAAAAATATTTAAAAAACGTTTATAAAAACATTTTTAAAAGCGTTAAAAATAATGGGTTAAGTGCCCTTTTTTAATGTTAAAGAAACTTTTTTTAAATGTTAAAATTATTTAAACAAAATTAGAAAAAAAAACAATGTAGAACCTTTTTCTTAATTTATTATTTTTTATCAACAGTACCTAAAATTTTAGACAACTAATTTTATTAATCAATTGTAATTTTTAAATATATTAAAATCTTTTTCACTTACCGAGTTTTGAACCTGAGACCTACGAGTCTCGTACTGCATCTATTACGCCATTTATGACTATCGATGTACAAACTTCTTATTGTCTATATGGTACGCTTAACGCAATTATATTATGTTAACTCCTTTTCCGTGATTATTTTTTTATTTTGACACGTTTTTTATTAATTTTAGTTTTGAAAAATAAATGTTTTTAAATATTTATAATAAATGTTTGATAAAAACGTTAAATAAATGTTTCTTAAATCATATTTTAAATAAATAAATAATGTAAAACAAATATTTAATGAACGTCAAGTAAACACTTAAAAAACGTTAGATAAACATTTAAAAAATGTTTCTTCGATATTATTTCAAACGAAAAATTAATGTAAAACAAACGTTTAAGAAACGTTAAATAACGTTTAAAAGTTTTTTCGAACCATTATTTCAAATGAATGATTAATGTTAAATAAACATTTAATAAACGTTTAAAAAATGTTATATATATATTATAATATATATACTATATTAGTAAAATTAAATTCTTTAATTATAATTACTTAAAAAACAACAAAATAATCAACTACATCAAAAATGTAAGTTAAAAATTTAGTCAGACTCCTTTTATTAAAATAAATAAGAATTAAAAACAGGCCATAGGAGTCAACACGCAAGTTGTTAGTAATGCGGAATTATTCAAAGACGATTTATTTTAGAACGTTTCGACTCTCGGTTTGAGCTATTCATCTTTAGCTATTCGGAATTAAAATTAATTAAATAAAAACGAATTCACGCATTGTACAAACAGTATCTACATCGCCAAAATCTGAAGTACCTATAGCAGTCAGTGTTCAAACAAGTTTAAGTATGAGGCCCTGAGCAATCGTCCAACGCAGTTGCATAGCTGAGTTGAGATATTCTTCAGCTCATATCCCCAACATATTCACAAATCTTTTATCACATATCATAAATTCAAGGTATAAACTTATAAAACATTGCACAGTTTAGAAGGCATCTTGTCATTACAACTGATCACGACCGAAGTGGTATAGTAGTATAGTTACTTACATAATACGTATACATATATGATAAATTTAACGTCTACATCACGTCATTATTGCAAAGACTTATTGACGTATTAAAATTAACGTCGAATACACGTCACTTAATGGACATATGACGTCAGTGACCAATTGTGACCAAATATTTACGTCAAAATAACGACAAATTTACTTGGGTTATTATTTATTAAAGATGAAACACTCTATGGCTGCGTTCCGTTTCACGCATGATGTGCATAATGCATTATATATCCTTGTTTAACATTCGGTGAATAACAAGGATGTATCATGCGCATCACGCGTGAAACGGAATGCAGCCTATATATCTTATGCACACAGAAGATTTATTTTTAGTAAAAATTGTTCGATGAGTCACACAATATAAGACACCCGAACACAAAAATTTCTTAAAAGATTGTGAAAACTTTTCATTAAATTCGAGACTCACTGAAATTAATATAATAACACATATATGTGATGATTCTTTCTTTAATCATCTTTTTATCAAAATTTGTCTTATTTTTCATCATATAGTCACATTAAAAAAACACATAAAAAAAGAGGGAATATAGGAACAATCGATACGTTTCACTTGATACTATTGTAATTTGACCGAAGACTTCGACAACTTATGTAATATTATTTGTTTTTATATTGAAAATGACCCGATCGGCGTCAAAACGTTTGTACTAATATTAAATGTTCTTTTAAATTTTAATTGGCTCGTAGCCCTTCATTTTATTTATTGATTTATTCTTATTGAGCCATATTATTAATTTATGTTATTATAATCATTAAAGGTAATAATAGCATTCGAAACTGGCCTTGTTCCACCAAATATCAATTATACATCACCAAGAAAAGATATAGATGCTTTAATAAATGGAACTATTCGTGTCATCCAAGAACCAATACCACTTCAAAATGGTTACGTAGGAATTAATAATTTCGGTTTTGGGGGATCCAATGCTCATATATTATTAAAATGGAATCGTAAACAGAAAGTTAATAATGGAGCACCGAATGATAATTTACCTAGACTTGTAATATTATCTGGACGTACTGAAGAATCAGTGAAGTTGTTTTTAAACGATGTCAGTAAACATTTAAAAAGCTTATTTGAAATATTAAAGACATTATATGTCACAGTTTCTATTTCAAGAAATTTATCGTTATAGATTGCTAATCGTCCGATAGATGTAGAATATATTCGTTTATTACATGACATCTATGCAGACAATATAAATGGTCATCCATGGAGAGGGTACGTTATACTGAATACTTTCCAAGAAGATTCAATAAAGAAAATACAAAATTGTGGAAGCATGAAAAGACCTGTTTGGTTTATATTTTCAGCCTTAGGTTCTCAATGGCCAGGAATGGGTACATATTCAATATTTTATATTTTATATTCAATATTTTATATGTTAGTAATAATATAGGGTGTCCCACTTTAAATAATGCATTAAGATTTCTCGAAAACTATGGTAGATATGGAAAAATTTTTTAAACAAAAGTTGTTCGGAGGGGGACATAAGGAGGTCAAGATCACGTCAATTTTTTCAAATGAAACCCCCTATTTTTCATTACATTTTCTTGTAGCTTACCTCGAGAGTTTTTCAAAACATTATAATAAAATACTTTTTCATCAAATATTTTTCGAGTTATAAGGCTCGAAAGTTACAGTACAGCCGGAATTAACATTATGCAAGTTATTCTACCAACGGCTACTTGAATGTTGTTCAGGATCATGTCCTGGATAACATTTGTCAAGATCAAGGTCATTGAAAGTTGTACCTCTTATTTTCATTTTTATGTAAAAACGAATTATTAGTGCAAAAATGAAAATAAGAAGAATAATCTTCAACGGTCTTGATCTTTACAAATGTTATCCAAGACATGATCCTGAACAACATTCAAAAGATTTTAGCCGTCAGTCAGACAACTTGCGAAAATATTATACTTAATGAAAAAAACATTTTATTATAGTGTTTGAAAAGCTCTGGAGGTAAGCTACAAGAAAATATAATGAAAAATAGGGGGTTCCATTTAAAAAAATCGATGCGACTTTAATCTGGCCTTGTCGACTACTAAAGGTCAAATCAATGGTACCTTCTCATGTCTCCCTCCAAACCACACAACTTTTGTTTGAAACATTTTTCCTACCATCTTTCGAGAAATTTTAATGCACTATTTAAAATGTGACATCCTGTATACAGATACCAACTTAAATAAAAAATAATGTACTTTATAAAAATCTTATTAGGTCAAAACTTATTAAAGCTTCACGTCTTCGAAAAAGCGATAAGAAAATGTGATAATGTTTTAAAACCATATAGTATAAGTGTTATAGATATTTTGACAAAAAAGGAAGAAGAAATAAGCAAAAATGCATTAAACACTTTTCTTGGAATCGTCGCTATTCAGGTAAAGAAATTATTATTTTTCATAATTATATTTCATAATTATATCATAAATAAATATAATATATAAGTATCGATAATGCTTTATATATAAGTAGAACACGTATAGGAATACGTTTCTTAATATTGTTATTCGATCACATTTATAGAACTATAATCCTACTAGATTTATTTCATGACATTTTATTATTAAATTAATAAAAGATTTTTTAAATATAATGTTCAGCTATCAAATTATTTGTATATATTTATAGATTGGTTTAGTAGATCTTCTAACATCCTTAAAAATTACTCCCGATTACATAATTGGTCACTCTGCCGGTGAACTTATTTGCGCATACGCAGATGAATGTCTTACGATTGAACAAACTATTTTATCAGCATACTTTATCGGTATAGCATGTGTCGAAGAAAAAATAATTCATAGCTCGATGGCGCTTGTCAATATCGATTACGAGTATCTTAAAAATATATGTTCAGCGGATAT